GAAAAAAACAGTATTTAAATCAGTTACTACTCTCAGTTTCAAATATACAGTATACTCTTTCATATCCGGACTCTCTCTTATCCGGAATGAGGAAAGGCAATCAAAAGTTTTCGTAAGTAAACTACTTCGAATTTTACCTTTACGTACTATAGTGTGTATATTTTAAAATTTTTTAAACTCAAAATAAACATTTCTTACACATACAGTAGACATATATGTTACAGTTTTATATAAAAATTATTACACTCTCTTATCCAGATAAGCGGCTGTAATGTTTGATATCCGGATCATTCTTGCCCGTATTAGTTCGGGTGTGGAAGAGTCTACTATTAGGATCAAGCAAATAAGCATTAGACTGCCTTTATTACTTTGAATACATAAATAAACCTTTTTCGGTTGGAAATTAAAAATCTATACATTTGTGATAACCTAATAGTGATGTTTTGCTGAAAAATATTGCTAAAAAATTTTATTAATTTTCAGAAAAAAAAAATATTAAATATTAAAATACACGAAAACATAACCAACGTAATTTCTTTCTATAAGTCATAAATATTTTATATTTGAAAAACATTGTTTATGCATGATAGTTTTTACTAAAGTGCTTCAAATGTATTTAAGTACGCGTTATACTTTAAATTTAATATTTTATTTCATGAAAAGACATTACCGAAATTTTAGCTTCTCTTGAATAAGATTGAAAAATATGTCCGATTCAATTCTTTTTTCGATGGATGTGTTTCCGTTAATATCTGGCTAAAAAATTAAATAATAATTAAAGAGATAATTTCACAATTTAAAAATTTTTATTTAATTAAAAAAATTTAACTATACAAAAATAAGTAGAAATTNATCTCCAGCTTAGAATACAACTTTCAAGGCTTTTATTTGCAAGACTATTGTTTACAGCAGGGGTGTCCAACCTTTTTGTTTCTCTGCGCCACAAGTATTAATATATTATATATACTTGTAGCCCAATCCTTAAATATACATGTATATTTAAGGATTAACATGTCTAGATTATAGTAATAAGTATTAAAACTTTATCACGAAAAAGAATATTTTAAAAAGTTACTTCTACAGACACTTTCAATTTGTTCAAGTTAATTGTGATATTTTATATTTTCTTTATAAAATACATGAAACTGTTTAGTAATGAAAAAAAAACTTTATTATCCAAACAGCGTAATAACAGATAAGTATATTCCATAGTTCTGTTCTGTATGGCATGATTTATTTCATGAAAACCGTATCAGAATTTTATTGATGTGTTAAAGAAAGATAATTATATTTCCTACACTATGGTTATATTATTCAAAAAAAAAATTTTATAATTTTATCAAACTTAATACGTTTTATACTGTAGCATTCGTGTTATGTTCAAAAAATAAATTGTTAGTCATAAAATACTTATGTTAATCCTGTCGAAGGTCTTTTAAGTTAAAATAATTTAGAATTAAATAGCCACGATGGAATAAATTTAAATAAATAATATAATGATTAAAAGCAGCAGTTAAATTCCATAGATTTTGATTTTTGTTTCTTTCAGACAGCGTGGCATTTCCGATAAATCAAGAAATGTATCGTAAATAAGATTTCTTGAGAGACTTTGATCTGTATCAATTAGAACAGTGGTTCCCAATTAGTTTTGCCTGCGTACCACTTCAAGAAAGAGCAGAAATTCATATTAATCCATACTAACATTATAAAGTCGAAGGTAATTCTGTCTGTTACCTTTTCACGTCTAAACCGCTGAACAGGTTTTAATAAAATTTGGCACAGAGATAGCTTACATGTTGGAAATGGACATAGGCTACATTTTACTGCGAGAAAATATCTTACTCCCACGAGAAAATTTGATATAATGGGGCGAAGCTGTGGGTAGACAGCTAGTGATAAATAGAATAAGTTTTTTTTTACATTTATTATCTTTAAACTACAATTCTAATAATAAAGAAAATAACATAAGGTTATTTAATTTTATTGTGACAAATGTGCACGATTTTCTTTGCACAACTTTGAAAAATCTGGTTGCTTTTTGGTCAGCTTCAGTCTCGAGTCACCTTCGAGTTGAAGTCGGTGACGATGTTTAGTTTTCATGTTTGTCATGGCCGAAAATCCGCTCTCGCAGAGGTATGTTGTGCAAAATGGTAGTAAATATTTTATTGCCGCTTAGCTGACATGATAATAATGATAATTGTACAATTTTTGTATCTTGCGTAAGAATTTCATTTAGGTATTATCACAAATGCATTTTCTTGATGAAATTTCGAGAATATTTTTAGTTATAAATAAACGAATTTGTGCATTCGACATCGTGTTGTAAATTGCAGAATTTTTGATGGTCCACCCATTATTTTTTTGATTGCTTTATCTCATGCATTTAAATTTTAAATCGACCAATTTTAGATTTCCGCGCGTACCCCTTCATGCAACTTCGCTTACCCCCAGGGGTACGCGTACCACTAATTGGGAACCATGGAATTAGAAGATGAACACGAAGATACCAGTAAACACTTTGAAGGTCTTCTTCCAACTCTCGGTAATTATGTAAAGGGACCGACTCATGAGGTTTTTTTTATACAGTAATCATAAAATAAAGAAATGAAGTTAGAGAAAATTTCTAATTAATTTCTAGCTCCTTTTAGATACGCTTCCTTGTAAAAAAAATATAATAATAACGAATGACAAATTTACCTATTTTGTATGGAAATTTTGTCACTTAACTTATGGTTACTATTTATTTTCTAAGTTCGTCATATTCCTTAATACTATGAAATTTTTCTAATATGTACAATGTAAAGGGCTACAACGAACACGTTTTAAAGGGTGAAACAAGCATAAATAAACAAAATTAATTTTTATAGTAACGAAATTTGGTTCATGTGCCTTTCTTTCATTATTATCTTCAGTAACAATGATATTTATTGTCTGTAGAATTATTAAATTAGAAAATTATTGAAATGTATCTAAGTTCGTAAAGTTCATTACATGTTACATAGAATAGTGCTCATATAAAGAACGATAAATGTATAAATTATCTATAAATTATAATATATTAACGGAAGACAGATTGAAATAAAAATATCCAGATATTAAGATAAAATATCTTCTTAATAATTTAATTGCAAAATAATTTCATTATTTATATTTTACCTATTATGTTATATTTATATACAGTACTTATGTGTTATATATTCTTATCTATGTTCGGTCGGTTGTATCAATAGTTATTAATTTTTATATATAGTTTTGTGAGACCCTACACCTTGAGAATTTGCAAACGTTTTCCTTAAGGTCCTCACTCCCGAATTTCTATAGAATAATTTCATTTTGTTTTTGATTCTTAGCATTTTTGTCGCCATCGAAACAGACTGTTTAATTAATGGTGTCGGATTAACATTTCTGATAGAAAATGTATAGAAGACAGACCAGACGGTCTTCGATAAGACCGACAACTTCACGCTGCAAACGTATAAATAGAAAATAAAAAATCCAAATTTTAAATAATTCGTTTAAAAACTAATTTAATCAACAATAATGAAATTTTGAATATTTTAATACGTTTTAATATCATTTGTTGAATATTAATAATAGGTAATTTAGAAAGTGTAGAAAATAAGTGACGCGTTGAAGATATGCATTTAAAAATATTTGAAAAACCTATTCAAAAGTTGAATAAAAAGAAAACTATAAAAATAACAAATTACATAACTAAACATTTTCGTATTAAAATAGGCAACTTGTATTTTTTAAAAATATTTCAGAGATATTTTGAAAAACTGTGTCGTACTTACTGTTTTCTCCCACAATCGAACAACAATTCACCGCCAGAAAAACTATTTTTAAAAAACAGAAATTCATGTCATTATTGAATAGAAGCAGTGGAAGAAAAGTACTTGTTACCAACACCGCTAAGCTGTTGTCATAGAAATGATAATGATTGACAAGAAAATAACAAAATAGCACGATTCTGACAATTTTATTGTTTCTTTAAAATACGTCTTATCGATTTCCTGTTTAAATTTAAAAATATCACAAAATATAAAATTTTGTGTACTCTTAAATACTTTTGAAAAATCTCCAGCTTAGAATACAACTTTCAAGGCTTTTATTTGCAAGACTATTGTTTACAGCAGGGATGTCCAACCTTTTTGTTTCTCTGCGCCACAAGTATTAATATATTATATATACTTGTAGCCCAATCCTTAAATATACATGTATATTTAAGGATTAACATATCTAGATTATAGTAATAAGTTTTAAAACTTTATCACGAAAAAGAATATTTTAAAAAGTTACTTCTACAGACACTTTCAATTTGTACTTAGAAATAGATAGATGCATTTATTGTAAAAGAGACGAACAAAAATTTGTTTGAAAAACACAAATATTTGTTTTATTTGGGTCTCTAATAAAAAACAACGAAATACCATTTTAAAGTGCATTTTTATTCAACTAATATATTTATAAATGATATGTAGCCCAAAAAGTAGTCAATTCGCCAATTGATAGTTTTTACGCCAAACTAACAAATTCACCCCGGGGGAGAGAGACAGGATTAAGGCTTAACACTTCCATCAACAATGGAAGTGTTAAGTAACAATGGAAGTGTCAACAATGGAAGTGTTAAGAGAAAGTTTTTTTTTTCGTTTTTGCGGGAAATCGAACATATTTTTAGACCCATCTAAAAATTCTCTAATTAGTCTGGAAACAAGAGGACCCAATTCTTGCATTCTGTGACTATAACGTAATAATCTTAATCCTAGTTATCGTTACTTTTGCCCGAGCAACGCCGGGCCTACCTGCTAGTATTTAATATATTTTTGCTGACATTTGCATAATTGCAGTTGGTTCCTTCTGTTCAGTTTCATTCGTTACTTCGTTGCAAATGGAATTTCTATTCTTTCTTTTTAATTCGATTTTCAAATCATATATGATATTTCGATTTTTTTTTCAGAACACTGATTGTCTTTAAGTGGTTCAATGTAATAAATATCATTGCCGATTCGTAATCTTGCAATAATCGTATCATTGTACCAATATCCAAAAGCGTTTTTTCCTTCTAAAAAGAACAATCTTTGCAAATTCATGAAATGATACTTATTGACTTTGTCTCCTGTGCATAGATAGACTTTTGTTGCAGCCAAAAAAATAGTAGAGCTTCTTGTGACTTGTAAGGTGTGCCATCCTTTGTTCTCGACATAAAAGATGTAAAGGATTTCATTTTTTGAAGTACGTTTTCTGTATAACCTATAGTGCTTGACAATATCGTACGAATTTTTATGTGACACATTTATGAGAATTCATGCAACTTATTACTCCAATTTTAAGTAATAAGCTAAACCAATACATTATTTTCTCACGGATTTTCGAATTAAATGTTCGAATTACCGTTTACTCATCAAATTAGAATTTTAGAATACTTTCGTTTGAATATTTAAATTGAATTAAATTATTTTTAAATAACCGTAACTTTTTCAAAGTAAGGTAAGTTCTTATCATTATCTTTTGTTAATATCGAAGTTCGTATAATACACTTTAACATAGACTCAGACTCATTGAATATTATACAACATATACACCTTATTGCTGAGAAGCATTTTTACTGCTTTAGACTAACGTTTTCAACCTGATCAACAGGCCATCATCAGGTTATCAGTTTACTGGAACGTTTACAATCGTTCTATATTCGAACCAACATGCAATAACAAATTCGAATTTAAAACTATTCGAACATTTTGTTAAAAATCAAAATATAAAATATAAGTAATATAACTAATCCATTAAATACATAAACTGAACGAATCAAAATAAATAGAGTAGAACAAAATAAAGTACAAATATAATAACATAAGATATAAAATTACATCGACCGCGCTATTCATCAGATTTTATAAGCCATTATTGATCATACATTTCCATGCCGATGGTAAGCCTATGGCATCCTTGTAGTTTAAACATTTGCCAGTCAGACTGGATTTATAAAATTCGAACTTTTCCAAACTTAATACCAGAGTCGATGAACGCACCGGTGTAACAATTCCCATTCAACTACCGAAGCGTCTGTTTGCGCCATTCTGGATAGTGCTGTAGAATAGTGTCCGTTGCTTACGTCATACATGTATCCTTAAGGCTTTTGTTGAGATTCCTGGTGGTGACACCCACATACTCTTTGTTTGTAAATCTAATTGATCATTTTTATATGGTATCTTATATACTCCAGGTTGTTGTTCCTTCTTGATCATATCTTTGTCATTTCTAAGCAAGTTACAAACCGTCGGAGCCCTTTTGTATAGTAATCTTGTGTTCTTGTAATCTGCAATTTCTTTCATGATATTTGACATGTTTCTGTTGTATGTGAACTTAGTCACATTGTTGTTTATAGCTTTTTTTCGTTTTCTTTTTGCTAGGATCAGTGTAAAATCTCCATTTGCATTCTTTATGGATTTATGTCGTTTGTTTATCTATCCTTGAAATTATATTTGGTTTTTTTTTTTTTAATTTTTAAATCTCATTTTTACAGGACACGAATATCCATTTTGTATCAAAATGAATATGATGAGAAAATCCTTACAACGTTCGGAAATTGGCCAGTCTGATTCGAGAAATAAGCCTAAATGCTTTTTTATATTGAGAAAAACATCGGATGATAATTATAAATTAGGTAAGTCGTTAAAGGCAATCAAATTAATTATATTTAAAAAAACAAATTAACACTTAATAAAACTATTCTTATTAGGCGATAAGAAGAAAACAAAAAAATTGAAAAAAGGTCCATTCATTCCTTGGCCATTCCGTCGTCAAATTAGTAAGCAAAACGTGAACCAGGAAGATAAGAATTGTGTTTCCCGAGGTCAACTGTTCGGTCAGTCATTGGAAAAAGTGTGTCAACAAAGTCTACCGAAGCCTATATCGGTAAATAATCCATTAGAAATAGGCCTATCAATCGAAAAGCCAATATGTGTTTACCTAAATACTGTTATTACAGGCAATTTTAGATCAATTGTACGAGAAGGGACCTCATACCGTTGACATCTTTCGAAAATCGGCTACAACCAAGGCATGTAAAGAAATGAAGACAGCTTTAGATAAAAATCCCGATTATAAAATAGAAATGAAGCCAACTATTGTTTTGGCTTGTGTATTAAAGGATTATTTGAGATGTTTGCCTGATTGTCTTCTATCTTCTAATTTGTACGAGGAGTGGTTACAAACTGTTGATATTCAACCAGAATGGAAAAGAAAAGAAACTGTTACCAATTTGTTGAATAGATTACCCCCCTCAAAATATTCAACTTCTTAAACAACTTTTGTGTGTTTTATGGAAGATAAGTCAATATTCTTCAGAAAATAAAATGACTTCATATAATCTTGCTGTTTGCATGGGCCCTACTCTGTTATATCCTACTGATCCTGGAAAGTCTTTTTTGATGTCTGAGGATGTATCAAAAAAGACACCATCATTAGTGTGTTATCTTATCGATAATTGGCCAGTTTTATTTCACGAAGAATACAATCAAATCATGGACGAAAGGCAGGATTCTGGAGCCGAAGAATCTGATAGTTTTCACGGTGGAGGAGGTGGTTTCAGAAGAGATGATTCTTCAGTCGACAGTTTAGAAACAGATTGTTTAGAAACGAGTGCGAAAATTTCGCTTACAAATATAAGCCGTGATTCTGGTCTAACTTTAAGTGACACACAATTATACAACGAAAACGAAGAATGCACAAAAAGCGTTCCCCATTTATCTTCAATCAGTGAAACGTGCTGTCAAGTTGTAAGAAGACGTAAGTTAGTTCGAACTGATAAAATACCAACCAAATGGTGCCACAGTATGCAAAATCCTCATCTGGCATCGGAAGATTCCTTATTTCAAAAGCTGCCGGCCCTTCACCGTAAGGGGAGAGCTCCATCTCCACCCATAAAACCACTCAAATCTTCATCTCCTCATCCCAGAATATTGTTATACGGTCACAGAGCGGATCGTCACGCGGTATGGTTCACAGCTCATTGCAGATCACCAGGATGGAAACGAAGTCAATCTACCTCCCACATCGATCTCATCGATTCGGATGGCGATAACACGCCTAATATATCCAGAAGCAGTTCACTAGTGCGCGATTCCTCACCCATGAAAGCCAACGCCGATATGAAGAAGCAAGAACAATTATCATTAAGCGCCAAAGCTAAACAATTATACGAAGAATCGGTACGACTCTATAACGAGCAATTAGCCGATACCCATAAGGCAGTATTGGTTAAAGTAGATAGCGAGGACAATTTAGATTCGTCTCCAAAATTACACAGATGCTTACAGAGGGCCGTCAGTGAGAGCACGTCGGTTCGGCTTCGACATTTGCCACCGGTTCACGTGAGTGACGCTCAATTGGCTCAACCATTCAGAAGTCGTTCGGAAACGTGCCCTAACGAAATCAGTTGGAGTATTGCTCAATTAAGGGCAATGTTTGCGCACCCGCCACCTTATCGTTTCCCTCCACCTCCTGTCGTTAGAACTCTTTCTTTGGACAGTAAAAATAGCGAGGAGGAGTCGTTCGTTTAAGTTATTTTTCCAACCGGTAACAATTGTACATTAATACTAACACATCCTGTACAGTTTTTTGTAAGTATTCAATTAAACTAAATTTAAAAGTAAAAATTTCCTTCAAAAACTTTTGCTCCAAACCCCAACATCCTAGCCACACTTCTCAGACTATCTAACTCTTGCAGCCTGCAGTATACGTTGGAGCAATAATAGAATGCCCTTCTAACTAGAGCTCTAAACGCTGAAAGCTTATAAGTATGTGGATCATTGGAGGTTGAAGGAATGTATAACGGGACGTGAGTGGGCTTGTTGTATACGTTCGTTTTAAAATTGAATTATGACTATTTACAAAAATTATTAAATTTTTCGAGTCTGTCTTTCATCCTTTTAACACATCACAGAAGTAACAGTATATTGGCAGGGCCGTGCCTTTCTATGATGCAGTGATGCGGCCGCATAAGGCGGCACCGTAAGGGGACGGCATAAGCAGCGAAATCAAAATATTATTTGAACTATTCAATAATTGAAAATTTTTACGCAACGCTTTTCTATATTGATCTATGTTATTCCGATATTGATGTATACTGTTAATGATTTATCGCATGCTTCTGCTTAAGTGCTTTCGGTACCCTTTGATTTCGGTTTATGGTGCAAATGAATTGTTGGAGAACGGCAGTCAAAAGGCTTTTGACAAGACAGCGCAAAGCTATTGTTTTTGTTTGTAATATACCACGCGACTCTCCTAAAAGCTGAGGCGGCAATTATCATAAAAGACAATTGCACGTATAACGAGTTGATAGTTCTGCTTTGACCTTAAATTATTGACAATATTTGGTTTTAACGTTAGTTTGTCTCTATAAGTAGCGAGTGGCTATGCTGTGTTTAAATCAGTGAATCAGATATATATCTGTATCAGTATAATATTTTTGCATTTTTACTAGTTCAGTTTTTTGTGTTTAAAACGTAGATCAGGTAAGAGAATTATTATTTTTTACAGCAATTTTAGTTACTTATTATCATTGAAAAGGATTATGTTGTGACAATAAGAACTCGAATTAAAAAATAGCATTTGCATGAACTGGGTATATATCAGGTGCGGAACGTGTGCCTGTGTGTGATAGAGAGTTATTTAGGTAATATTGGACTACTTTTAAATTCTGTATGTGATAGAGTTGCTTAGGAAATATTTGCATTTGCTATTTTTGCGTTCGTTATTTTTTGCTCTATTTTTACTACATTTATATACGTTGAAATGAAGACAATACAATGACAAGTTAAGGTAAAGACATATGTCAAAACGGCTGCTAGCTGTCAATTTGACAGATATTCGTTAGCTCTTTACTAGCAGACGAGCCCTGCGTTGCACGGGCAAAAAATAACGATAGCGAAGATTAAGATTTTTAGATTATAGCCGATTTTACCCGTTTTCACCGAATGCAAGAATTAAGTCTCCCTCTTCCGAGATTAATTAGAGAATTTTTACATGGTCTGAAAATATGTTCGATTTTCTGCAAAAACGCAAAAAACCGCATCTAAAATAGTACAGTAAAGCAGAGTTTTTTAAGATAATCCTTAACCCTGTCCCTCTCTCCCGCGGGGTTAACACTCCCTGTCTCTGTAGCTAGTGGGGAAAGTTTTTCCAAATTAAGATTAATAAAACGCTACTTAAGAAGTTCAATAAGCCAAACAAAACTTAGAAATCTGTCATTAATTTCTATTGAATCTACATTGGTTTCCACTCTAGATTACGATTCCCTAATTAACGAATTTGCTAAAGTTAAAGTTAGAAGGATAAAACTGTAGTAGATTCTTGTAGTTGATACTTGATATCATTATTTTAAAGTAATTTTTATTTTCAAAATAAAAATAGTATTCGTACAATTTGTGCAGTTTTTTAATCACAACCGAAGGTATTTAAGGGGCGGCATTTCGAAGACTTGCATCACACTGAGAAAATCTACGGCACGGCCCTGTATATTGGCTTGAATCAATTTCATTAGAACACGTGATAAATTATAAAGAAATCACACAAAGTTAAAACTGATTGAAACGCCGTCCTTTTATTTGAAGATTCGGCGTCCTTTAACATTAAAACAATCATATACCTTCGTGTTTAAGGAACCATTCTTGAATGAAATGACAATGTCTAGAAAGTGCACTTCCGTGGTACTCATTTGCTCCAATTTAAGTTTTAAACCATCTTGGTTAAAATTTATTTCATTCAAAAAATGCTGAATTCTTGTATCATTCCTCCATAAAATGAACACATCATCCACATATCTTTTATATAAGATTATGTCCTCCGTAAAATTCGTAATGGTGATCTGTTTTAATCTGCGTAACACTAACTCGCAGAGTAAGCCGGACATCGGATGCCTATCGGAACTCCTTTCATTTGTTTATAGATTCTGTCTTCAAAGCTGAAGAATGATTGAAAACATATCAGGTTTGCAAGTAGCTCCATTTCTTTAGGAAAGGCCGACACACCTGGGTTTAAACTGCGCAATGTGTCAATTAACGCGTGATAACATGAATCCAATTTTGTCGATGGATACAGACTTTCAAAGTCCATGACTGGTCCAATGTTCTCGTCCATTAAAGATAGATTCTAGAGTTCATTTTTTAAGTTATGTTGGTTCTTTGTAATAAAATGATCGTTCCCAATCTGTTCCGATAAATTTCTATGCAGGCGTTTCTCTAGCTTATACGTCGGCCCTTACATTTCTCGACTAACGGTCTAATCTCTTTGCTACTTTTGTGTTTTTGCAAAACTGAATAGTCTGGGTATACTTTGGCCTGTGATATGTGATCCTTTCAGGAAATGGAATAGTGAGGTAATGGGGTGATCTCTCCAATTTCCTGACTTTTCTGTCTACTTTATCAATTATACTGTGATCAACCCTTTCACACCCGGTCTTCTCTATATAATCCTCTAACGCTTTGGTAAAACGATCTTTTTTTCATTAATACCAAATGCTTACTTTTGTCGGCCCTTGTTAATATCAATTCGTTATCCGCTAACCATTGTCTTGTGCGTTTTATTTCCAACTGCTGTGCTCTGTGTCTCCTGTTTTTAAGGGTTGTTTTCCATCTGAAATAATCTTTGTCTACTTCATCCAGTCCAATGAGTCCTCTTTCTATTTCGGCTATAGTGTTCTGCCAGTCTGCGGTGTTATCAGGAGCATAATTAGGACCTTTCTCCAGAAGTTTTCCAATCCAGATCCAAAGATGGATCTGGTCCCGTAATATATATGGGGGTTTTTACTTCGTACATTTTTACGAAAACAAGTAAAAATGTAGGAAGTTGAAAAAGGAACTTCCTGTTCCGTTGAAGGAAATTGACACAGTTCCTTAAAAATCGATAGTTTAACGTGGGATTTCTCACGACGTGTCCACAAAACCGCCAAACTTCCGTCACGCGTCGGAAGAGTGCAGAGCTTATTTTAACTGATTTGATTGGAGGATATTTCTAATAAAAAAGGACATGTCACCTTCAAACGACAGCTAGCTTAGATCAATTCAGCTCAGCATAGCCTAGTTTAACTCAGCTCAGCTTAGCTCAGAGCTCTCTTACGAAAGCTCTAACCTCAGTGTTCTCGTCCTCCCACGAGTCGAGCACATCCATTCACTTTCTAAAATGAACTAAAGATACTCGTCATATTTCATACGTCAATTCAATGGAAGAATTCGTCTTAAAATGTGAAGTCTACAGATGAAAAGAATCTAAGGTAATATAAATTGTAAATTCTCTCTCAAAAAAGCATTAGTGTTAGTAAGTGGTTGAATATTCGAGTTCTTATCCTAAGAGGAAATTTGCGATCTGATAGAAACTTTAATATCTAATTATTTTATATTAATTTCGATTTTATATTCCATTGTAATTGTATATAAAGAATTTGTCTAACTTTTACTTAATAAATATGTTTAATCTATCGATTTAGGCTAATTGATTGTCATTTGCTCCATCCTCTTACCCACGATAGAAATAGTCCTCTCCTTAAAATTCGGGAAGTTAGTTAAATTTTCATTCGCTTATTAGTCCGCGTAATCGACTAAGTGGTGTCTGAAGTCCTGATTTTGAAAGATTTAATCGATCCTTCAAATATAAACGGTCACAAACGAGTGACGGGTTCGACCGGAGCCCCAGAAATTCACGTAACTATACTGTGTAGATAGGTGAATAAGTTGTATATATAAAGAAATCAGAAGAACCCTAGCGATCTGGTATGTCGTCCTAGATTTTATCCAATTCGAATCCTTATAAAGTTAATCACACGAATTGAAAACAGTATATAAATAATTAGTGTACTCTTAAATCTTGTAACTCTTATGTTACGATATCCAGATACGCCAGACTGATGAGAGGCTATGCACGAAATACATATCTGACAGAAAGATTGACAATAGTTACCATTTTAGTAGTATTTTATGTCAGTCTTCGTTTGATTAGTCGCAAACAGCAGTCACAAAAAAAGAGAAGTATCGAACAGCACGTATTTTGGGTATCCGAAAACACCAAGTTATAATACAAAATAAAGATTGCGTCAGATTCGAACCGTCACAGATATTTACGACAGATTACATTATATAAGTTACACTAAATATAGCGTTTTACTATCACATGGGCAAAACTTTTAAATATATTCAATATTTAGATATTTCAAAGAAACTTTTATAACATGTTAAGGAATCCGCCGTGTTAATATCAATTCGTTATCGTGACATAATGAATTAACTTTTAGATTTGTAAAACAAAACTTTTACAAATCTACATATGATACATATTTTGGGGGAAATAAGTACGTACTGTACATAAGCGTGTATATATTTCTATAATTTTTAATATATATCGGGCCCTAATTATTACACTTAGCCAAACTCTTAAATGTATTTATTATTTAGCAATTAAAAACAACGAACATCATATTTAATTTCACAAAAATTAAAGATTTATTAACTTTATTTTGAATATACATTTTAAGTCATGATATATCTGATAAAAGAACAAGCAATAGAACACATATTTAATGATTAAACACAATATTGAGAATAGATATAAAAGTGTTGCAGACAGATTAAAAACAGCATTTTGTATTGCGTATTAATATCTGTAACAAAAAAAAACAAATTTTTATATTAAAATTATTAAATATTTCAAATTATATGAACATACATATAAATTAACTATAAATGGTTTACTTATGAAAAAGTTTAATATTTATTTAAAATCTGTTTTATTTTTACTTGAAATCACGAAATATTAATTCTTTTAATAACTTTTACTTTTTCGCTTTTATTATATTTAAAGTATTTAACATTGTGCTTCTGTAAAACAATTAAAGTTAATTAACGAGAACGATAAACACGATCTCATAAACAATTGTTCTTGAGGGTTTTTATTGTTCCTTTACGAATTAAACGTATAACACTTAAGATATTTTAATACTTACGTTATTCGCATCCTCTAACTTCGGCAACGAAGTTCGGCACTTCTTCTTCCAGGCATACGAAGAGTTCGTTTGTGTAGACATTTGGTAACAGCATCATCCCGTACGATCTTGTGACCAGAGGAATTCTCGATTTCTTCAATGAGAAAAAAACATTATTTAAAATTATTATTTCGTTATTTTAAATATAAATATGATGATTATTTTAAAGATAAATATGCTAACCGAACGAGGTATTTAAGAAAACAATAAACTATGTTAATATGTTTCGTCGCTACCTAAGAATACAATGTTTAATTATTAAGAATACAAGTTGTATATACACGTATTACAAGATATAAAAATAGCTTTATTATTCATAATAAATAGAGCATTCTATTATCAATTTTCTTAGTTTCATTACCAATACCTTTATGCGTAATCTTGTTATTCACATACAACACGCACCAAATATATATGGGAGACCGGGGCAAGATCGGCATGTTAAGCTTTACTTAAATTTTGTGTAATAAATACTGCTGTAAACTAAAAAAAAGCTTTGCATATTGTCTATTGGAATGTTACCTTACTATAGAACTGGTTAAAATCAGTTTGGAAATAAAAATAATTAAAATAATTACAACTTTACAAGAAGAGAGAAATTGACGAAGTTGCCCCGGGTATAGGGGCAAGATCGGCAACTTCTCTCTTTTTGTAAAGTTGTAATTATTTTAATTATTTTTATTAAAGTTGCCCCTGGTATAGGGGCAACAGTAATGGGGCAAGATAGGCACGTATATAAAATTATGTTATTAACAATGTATAAGTTGGAATTCACTATTAAAACAAAGAAATACAAATCCAACACCCATTTAATATTATTACAACGAAATGCAAGTTCAAAGACATATATACATGAATAACAAATGCAAACATGTTTTCATTTATCATCTGTTTGATTTTTATCCTTTGCTTCTAATGTGGCTTTATGTTGCCGATCTTACCCCGCTAGTCATGATTTCGAAACATTAAGTACAACCCTGAGAACAGAATGCCAAGCCACGATCTGGCCACGTGAATAAGTTGAAGTTACATCCTTCTAACAGGAAAAGTAACTTTCGTTATCATGGAATTATAACAAAACCTGCCAATTCAATATAAATGGAAAAAAAATATTATATGGAATTGAACGAAAATGAAAATTTGCTTGATAATTCAACTACGCTTGTTGGAGAACAATAAAAACACTACACTCAACAAGCCACCAATAAAACTCAACTGCCTAACCTATAACCAAAGTCTCCTTTTAATTTGTTTTTTAAAAAAAGCGCTTGACAAACTTGCCCCGCATGCCGAAGTTGCCCCGGTCTCCCCTAAACATATTAAGAAACTGATAAGCTGTAGAACTCATAAAAAAAAAATAATTTTAAAAATCCAATTTTAATTTTTATTATTAAAATAAATCTAATATATTTATTGTTTCGATATTTAATAGGTTAATAAAATATAAGAAAATTTTCGATTATGTAATTTAAGTTTATTTGTTAGCTGCTATGGGCCGAATTCCTGATTAATCCGTTATACACAAAAATTGTTCAAAAAGGAAAAAGTATACAAAGATTAAACAGTGAGAAACACGTGTTTTGTCTTCTATTCTTCCTTGTTTCTACATTTAAAATGTAGCCTACTCTATGAAAATCGTCAAGGTAATTTTTACGCAAAGATTTCCATTTTCTACGTTAAAAAGAACCCGTTCAAAAGGGAAATCTGACAAACCGGTAAAGATTGTCAGTACGGTGCTTTTCCGGTGTATACAAGTTGTACTGTGTATTTTATTCGGCCTGCGATAAATAAAGAGTTACGAAAGGAATATTGATAGGAATCTTTCCGGAAATAATTTCGTATATATTGGCAATTTTCAAATACAGATTGGCTTGTCGTGTTTTATCTATCTTTACGTATATACAATTCGTGATTTCCAAAATCCCGCTAATGTTCTGTTTGATTCCGCGTAAACACAGAGTTTACATTTATTACTTGATATAAAATATAGTTTATTTTGTACTGTAAATAAGTAGTTACCACATAGAAATAATTGATATAAGATATAATTTCCGTTATATTTTTCAGTATATTTGAGGATTTATATAAAATTTACATTTCTAGAATATCAGTGACAACATATCTGAGAAATTAGTCTGAATAAGATAGCGATTTACAGACAATAAATTTCATACGGAATAATTTTGAAGCAGGTAAAACGGGATAGTGTATCTACTTTTCGAACCAACCTAAAAGTTATAGTTTTTGTACATATCCCAAAATAATGTAAAATACTCCTAAGTATTGTTTATAAATAATTACTGTATTTTAATGCCTTTTTAGAAAAATATATACATTTATTTTTATTTTGTCTGTCACTAATAATACAGTTATTGTTTAAATAACTTCATACTTGTTTGATTTTTCAATAATAAGTTTTAATAAACTCTCTATTTCGGAATAACGTTAATATGAACCTTTTGCCGTTTGGGCACAGCGAGCGCTCTTTGGGCTCTTTTACCAAATCTTTTGGAATTTGGACGGAACACAATGGGATTCCACCCGGTCCCCCAGATCGCTTCAACCGCCTATTTTTGTCTATCCCAAAATTTGTATACCAGTCGACCCCCCTATAACACTGTTGATTATTCCATTTTATATGAATTCCATGTTGTACGAGTCACTTAGATTTTGCAAATACGTGTGCCAGGCTGTGAACGGTTCACGTATTTGTAAACTCTAAATGACTCGTACAACATGGAATTCATATAAAATGGAATAATCAACAGTGTTATAGGGGGGTCGACTTATTTCATTTATTCGATAACATACGAATTTCGCTACGTATTGTTGATTTTGGTGATTACAATATTAAAAAAATTTTTTAACTGATTAAGATAAGGTAAGAAAATAATGTTTTCAAGTAAGACTACAAGATATACTTTAGAAATTACTGAGAAGAAAGGCTATTTAACAGCATTTGTGTAAATATAATTAAATTATTCTATATTACTTCTATTTAAGTTACCAACTGATGGAGTTATCTGAAGTGCCAAATTCTTTTAATTATTAAAAAAATCANAACACATTTCAATGTAGCTCTGCTAAAATTCACGAAAAGTTTTGAAGGATAAGTTTAAAATACTGTATATAGCCTTAAGAAACGTAAATATAGCTGACTAAAGACTAAAGACTAAAGAGAGAAAGACATGGCCGAGCAGTGAACATAGCCTGTGAAAGGACTTGTTACGTAAAATTCCGAATCCAAAACCAGCTGCACATTAATATTAAAAAAATTAATTTTGTTTAAAACTTATATAATAATAAGGAATAAATAAATTTTAATACACAAATAATCAAATAATATTAAAAGGTGATGAGTACATTTGTTTTACGACTTGTATTATAGAGTAATGAAATTGAGTGTATATTTTAAATTTTGTCAGGTTCAATAATTATTCTTTCTGAATAATGCAAAAACCTAGTTTCTTAATATTTCCGATGAAAGAGGTATATGTTCTTGACACTTGTTATTTCATTAACCCGATAGAAATTTATGTATTACAATAATTATCGTATAATTAATATAGTAGGGTTGCACTCTTCTGTTTCATTTTGTTAGTACTTTCTTCTGACTTTTCAATATTTTATAAGTATTGTTTTTTTCCCTTCTATAACGTACACTTTCGGCACTAATTAAGGAAAAAGGAGGTCAACAAAATAGTAAAGAATTTTTATTTCGTTTCTATTATACTAGAAAACGTTTTTCAAGACTAGGATTGGACAAAATTAACTTCTTTTATTTTGAAGTATATTTTCATTGTGATATTTTGCTTAATATAAGCCCTTATCGTTAAAAATAAACTCCAGAATTTATTTTACCCTAAGATTATTTGCTAACACAAAAACATTCTTGCAATCAATAATTTTCGCATAGCTTCTTCTGTTCGAAAACCTTTTTCCAGGAAGTGTACAGTATTTATGTGTTTTCTTGAATATATTTAAGTGTATAATGAGTACTTATATTAAGTATGAAGTTCTCGTAAACCTAATTGTAAACAATTTATGTACAGTATAAGTAACTGTGCTTGTATCAAAAGAAAGTTTGTGTGTGTGCCAGTGCGAGAATAAAAAAGTAAGAGCGTAAGTTCAGAATGGAAATTCGTTACAATGTTTTCTCCATTTATCGTTAAATTGTGTTACTTTGATACTAAAACATTTGATTTTAGAAGCGAGGAAAAATATTAAAACAATTTTTATATTACTTATTTCATAATAAACTATTTTAAATTTAAATTTGCAATAAAAATAAAATGCTTACATTCAAGAATTGAGAACAATGTTGAAATTGGTGTTCGGTTCTTCGTAGAAATTTCCATTTTGCGGGTATTACTGAATCGCATATTGTATCTAAAACGATCAAATAATATTATTAATATATTTAAATATTTTACGTTTTAAATATATTTTTTAACACATTTAAAATATCGTCGTAAATAAATACTTAATAGAAAGTCAATTTTTGAAATTATACGTCAAACGACGACTTATTATTAAAGTCCTATTAAATAAGACTAAAGACAAATTCTACTTTTATTCACTTTCATGTATTTCGTGCAAATATTTATACCGAAATAATTAAATAACAAAAGCTCGACATTAATTCATTAGAATCTTTGAATTTGTAACATAACACCTTCATCCACTCGAATTTTCTATCGTTTCTAACAGTTAAATATTACTAATTATATTTGCAAAAATATCAAAACTATTAATACATTTCTACACTCAAGTTCGCGATTCATAAGTCTGCCCGAAACACACAGCAGACTTCCGGTCAATCGACGAATAAAGGAAAAGTTGTAGTATGGATTTATTGCTTCTATTTTTATATATTGTATAATATCGAAATATTGGCGTATCTGTTTCACATAAAACACAGATCCGATAGGAAAATGATACATTATGTAATTTATTTTGTTCTCTCGAGGAGCATTAAATATTTTCCAAGAAAATATTCATCTTTAGTAAACTAATTCAATTATTATACGATATTGCCTAAGCTATAATTTACCGTAAGGACATCCGTATATCTTCATATCCATGTAAGAAGTGAGGTCATTTTCATTACAATCGGGAAGTGGCCACGGTTGTAACCAGAACTTGTCAGTGGAGGCATCACGTGGGTAAACGGAGATTGGCTTGGAAAAATCGTAAACCGAAACTGTTTCACCCTATATAAGTGCAAATAAAATTAGGAAATTAATCGATTTAATACTTAATAAATTTGTTCGTACGGTTTAATTATATCAAACAAAATAATTCTAAAAAGCAAGTTTCAATTGAAATTGCTCCACATCTTATGGAGGAAATCTAGCCTAAAATATAACGATACCGAATCCTCATCTCTGTGGAATGTTAATAAGTTTTGATAAGTTTTTTTTAAATGTGCAGTATTTATAGTTTTATAGATTTTTCGTGCTCTTTAGCATAAACACATTTCAATGTAGCTCTGCTAAAATTCACGAAAAGTTTTGAAGGATAAGTTTAAAATACTGTATATAGCCTTAAGAAACGTAAATATAGCTGACTCGCCAGTGTACAGTACGTTCCATACTACTTACTATGATGATAACACACCACGTTGTATTATTAGACTGACATGAGTGTTAGAATGGCGAGTGTCCTGTAAGTGACACGTCGATGCAGCTATTATTTATGTTTCCCGCATTTATTTTTATTTTGTCTGTCACTAATAATACAGTTATTGTTTAAATAACTTCATACTTGTTTGATTTTTCAATAATAAGTTTTAATAAACTCTCTATTTCGGAATAACGTTAATATGAACCTTTTGCCGTTTGGGCACAGCGAGCGCTCTTTGGGNGACATGAGTGTTAGAATGGCGAGTGTCCTGTAAGTGACACGTCGATGCAGCTATTATTTATGTTTCCCGTTTGAAAGTATTACACAATAAATCTTGTTTGTGTCTTATGCATTTCGTATAAACTTCGTTATTTGTTGGTCACGGCGTCTTCAGATACAACATTATCGGAGATCGCCTCCCGATTAATTCGTTATATACAGCACGCCATTTAATATTAAGTAGATTTAACACAATATTTCAAACTTTTCGTAGATAAATCATTCGTTTTCTTATTAGTTAACATTAAAGTGAACAATACATAAAGATTGAGTAATTATTTATTGTAAAATTGTCACAATGCCGGGATGCAATTTTCAGTCATATTCTTAATTTATTTAATTTAAAACATATACTCTCCACCTCAAATTAGCAGTCTTGTCCCTGTACATCATACTTTTCCTATTAGCAAAGTAGTCGTGCCGGTCATCTATCTGATTCCTTTTGGAGAAAACATTTTGAATTGAAATAACGTAATTTCCGGTCTAGAGCGGTCATTTATGTAACTCTATTCTCTAGATTAAGGACAGACAGACTGACGACAGTGGTAATTTATAGGTCGACAATTTTTTCAAATTGCAGCTTAAAAATATATAAAGAATACACTTAAAGTTTGGTATTAAAAGTAACGTTTTACCTGTTGAAGTGATAACGAAGTGACAAAATCGGTATACAAATTGACGTCGTCGACAACAACGGGTGCATTTTCTAAATCGAAGGTAACGCTGATTTCGGTAATGTTAAACCGTCGTGGGAGCGAAACCTGTAAAAATACAAAATGTTTATTTTTAAATAATTAACTGTCGTATTTATGTAATTAAAAAAATATAAGCCCAGAAATCAGTTAACCATGTTTTTTGTATGTGGAAGACTCACACCGAGATAACAGGAAGAGTGTGAGGCAATATGATGTTGCTAATAAAGTTTTGTATTCGACGAAAAAGAAACACTCGTTTCAAATTTGGAAATAAAACGGCAATTCCGTATGTCTTCACAACAGTTAACTGACATTTGGACCAATATGTATTTGAATTTTGTATGCGAAACGACTTCCGACACACGACACATTCGAGTAAAATGCGACCGGAACAGGGAAGAATTTATTACCTGAAACATGTACGGACATCGTGGCAACTCGGAAGGATACGATTTACGAACGACAGAAAGAGGTTGAACGACATCATGGCATCGAAATTCTACACAAAAGAAAATCCTATTTAAAATTTTATTAAATATTCACTCTTAACCAATAACAGAAACCGTAACCCACGTACAGACTTTCGTATGTTTAACATATACATGCATGAAAACCATTATGCAAATAATTTTAACTGCTATTAAAAGTAGAATCTACTAGAAATATTCGGAAAATCTGAAAAATTTCTGTTATGTCGATTTTCGTTTAAAGAGCAGTATAATAAATACAGTATGCTCATCAAAACATAAAGAAAAAAAATTATTTTGTCATAAATGAAACGTTTATTATTTAACTTTATAATTTTTTAATTTATTTAAATTTATTAAAATATCCTTGCGACATTTTAATAAATTATCATAAAATTTTAAAAGATGTAATACATTAGTCAATAATTAATATAAATACTTTAATAAATAAATAAAAAGAAAATATCACGTATATACAAACAAAAACTTTATATATATATTTATTTATTTATTAAGTATAAATACCAACGGTTAATATTTTAATATTTTCTTTAATGGTATAAATAGCTTTTTTATGTGACACATAAAAAGAACATAATTGCAATTTTATCTTTAAATATGTCAGTGTGGGTCGAAAACACCGTTCTTACCAATTGGACATCCTCGTATTTCGTAGCGAAGATACGAATTGCTTTCGTTAATCTGATAAGGTGTTCGAGCACTCAGCTCCAACTTATCTACAAGAACTTCCGGTAAAACAAACGTGTAAGCTTCGTTCGATTGTTGTCTGGATAATCTTCCCCTTCTATCCTGAAACGAAAGACATAAATTTCAACGATTTGCGTTATAAAAGCCATAAGTTGGCGTTACGTCACGTCAAGCGTAAAATTATATTGTTATACGAATTTGTACTTACTACGTATTTAACCTCTGTCAAATAGCCTTCGAGTAAAAATTCGACGTTCGAAGCAGAAGAATTTCCAAGGAAATATCGAACCGTAACGCTTCTAACGTAGAAAGTATTTCCGAGATTTGCCTGTTCCACAAAATAAAACGTGATATAAGTTACGGTAATAAAGTATTGTTAATTCGTTTAAACAATATAATGGCGAGTCTTCTATATATTTTGAACAATTATTTCTTCCTAGTGTTTTATCGCGCTTCCGGGAGGCATTAATTTGATATTTCTATACGATGAACTATCAGAAAGAAATTAATAACTCGACGTTTCGCATTAAGAACGATACCAAAAGAATGATAATGATAAGATAATGACGAAAAAAGTCAAATTACGTCACAACCTACCCCCTTGCGAACTATAGGAAAGAAATAATTAACAACAGACACCAAATGCTAACGATCCGAAGTTTATTGATGACGATGAATTATCGATAAGTAAAAATCCTTGACAAATACTTGTGATATTAATAAAGTTAGAGTTAAAATAGCTTTTACATTACTTGTTTAAATATTTTATCACTCAATAAATGTAATTAGAAGTTTTATTTTTATCGTTATCAAAGTAAACGTTTAACATAATATGATATAGAAGGTACTTCTTTAATTAATATACAATAAATGAAGAATCTCAAAGAAATTTATAATTAAATACGGAGGTGCGCAAACTACACCTTTCCGGGCCAAGTGCGGCTGGCGAACGTATTTCACACATCGCTTAGGACCATTGAAGTATAACGTCGGAAATTTATGGAGATTCGCTTGTATTTGACGATGGAGGAAAGAGGATGAGTCTTTGATGACGTAAGATAGCACCCGTCGTTTATTTATCTTCCCCTGTTATCATAAGATTGGTCCCTTCATTAAATTCGCAGTCTGAAAATAATTCCTATGTATTTTCGAATGATTTAAATGTCTGGCCTAACGACTTATAATTAAAAGGAAGGAGGTGCTTGATTTCTGATGACTGAAGGGAAGATTAAAATTAGCAAATATGTGCTAATGTTACACTTGAACAAGTGATAGAAATAGGCCTACGTTTTGTATACATGCTAATCAAAAAATTTGGATGCTACCGTTTAAATCAGTTATAATTTAATAGATGTGTGTATATATGTATAACTAATAGTGTTTTAAAAATTATTATAATTAGAAACACAGATATTAAAGAGTCGCGAATCGATGAGGAACTCTAACGTTGATGCCAGAGGTCTGGGAGTAGCTCGTAGAACACAGACACAAGAAGTTACAACTAAAATTTTTAAGCGTAAATGGACTAGAAATAATAATTAAAAAAATATATACAGTAGAGCCTCGAAAACTCGGCCTAATACGGACCGAAGGGTGGCCGAGTTTGTGAAAATGCCAAGTTATCGGCAATGGGGTTAAAAAAGGATAAGTATGCGTGTTTCCTCAGAAAATATTGTACTGTACTTGTATATATTGTTTGCTTGAGAATACAACAGAGAATAAACTGCCCAAATACCATTAAACAATGGAAAAGTACGTACTTTATGAAGGCATAGAGCCTTTACTACATGAAATTAAAAATTAATGAATACATAGTGTACAGTAATTTACCTGATAAGACAGACCTCAGAAAAATACTTTATGAGGCATAAAGCTGTCTATGATGAAAATAAATTATCTAAGGGTATTTTTGCCCTGCCAAGGTGTGGCCGAGTTATCCGGAGTGCCGAGTTTTCGAGGCTCTACTGTATCATATATTTTATTAATCAAATTTATTTCTTGTTATTGATAACGAATGTTATCTGTTTAATTGTATTAATTTGGTATTTCAGCTAACCTGTACAGGACTACATTACATGCTACAAGTTACAATAGCCTACATGTAAATGTAGCGTACTTAAAAATTACTACAGCCTACTACTACAGCCTACTTAAAAATTGAAATTAAGACATAGGACTGAGAAGGGACAACCATCTTTATAACCTTTCCATCGGTTCGAAACTTTCCCATCACTTTTATTATTGATAAATATTACCGTTTCTATAATTATTATTACTTTTACATTGCAGATTTTCAATTTAGTACAAAATATATACATAATTTTTCATTTTTTTTCTAAATTTTAGACTTTTATTAACAAGATAAGCTAGGATTAATTAAGGAAATGTAAGTACATTTTTTATAAGAATAAGACATTAAGCCAATGATATATAATATAATATTTTAGATTGATAAGTTAGTTTTGATAAAGAGTAAGGATTTGCTTTCATGAAGAAATCCTACAGGCTAACCAACAATCCTATATTAAATCATATTACGACCAGTAGAACTTGTTTTATATTATATATACATGTAACAGTTCTATTGGTCTATAATCTACTAATATAATAGTATTACTGTATGTTAATATGTTACGAAATAAAGGGACACGCATCATAAAATAATTGAGGATGTCGATTAAAGAAAACTGTTTCGAAATTCACGAAAGAGAAAACTGTGCTAGTTACAAATCCGGTTACAGATCACATAGAGAATTTCTAGAGCGGTCATCTAAAATATGTTTCTTGGTTATTGAGATTCATACAAAGAACTAGCGAATCAATGAAATCCGCAAGTTTCGAATTAAACATTGCTTCCAACAATAAAGAAAAACTAAGACTTTTACATCAAACTGATCGACGTTATAACGGATGAATTATCTAATTCTGACTATACAGGGCAAATAATTGCTTGGTCAAAAAGATTTTCTAATTTGATAATCTGACAAATGGTCCTCTAAGCAACGGAATAATTTCTGTGCATTCTTACCCTTCTTATCCTGCCACTTCCCCCACGAGCATTTAAGAAGTATATAGGCATACGTCTTTGGACATATACCCTTATTCCACACTTGTAAACTTCGAGTGTTTGCGACGGCCCACAATTAGTTACGACGTTATTTTTATCGCGTGGACAGACGGGGACACGTGCACAGAGAAGAAAATCCATTTGTAACTCAAAAGCAGCTATTTGTGGACATATGTTCGTCTTTTGTCCGAACTCTTGAATAATTTATACCTTAATAATAAATAGGACAACAAAAGGCTATCTCCAATCTACAGACCGGAATTTAGACAAATTGAAACAGACAAACTGAATTACTTTGTAACAAACTTTCAGCATTTCTTGAAATTAATCACATTGGCAACAGAAATAAAAATTAGCCGCAGTTATAATAAAATTTCAGTCTGCATCAATTATAGTTAAAGATAAGAAATTTACAAGTGAATTTGCTCTGAAGGAATATGATAATATTTCTTATAATTAATAATAGGAAAAAATAAGAATTATCACTTATAATAAAATTATAAACGTGACGCTTATCGATGGAATTTAATTTTACCATCATTGTCGTCACCGTTGAATCGAATTATGCGTTCGATCTACGCTTTTTTAATTTGATAGACTAAAACATAAATCCTGTTCTATTTATAAATCTGATAAATATACACAAATTGAAACGTTACATACCTGGAATGTTTGCTTTTTTATCAGCATACCAATGCCACGTTCGTCGTATATGTTTGTATGGGAGCTCGTTGACACAGGAGTCACGATTTCTTCACATTGCTGCTCGACTGAAAAGTTAATAGCCAAATTTATATTTTTGATAGAAGCATTTCAAACATATTTTAATAACGCATAAAATAATTATTATCATAATAAATCCTAATTTCTTTTTAATTGCATCATAGAACGAACGATTCGAATGCAAAGTTTGAATTTTTATGACCTATAAATTACTTGTTACTTAAAGTTTATTTTTTGAAAAAAATTATAAAAAACGAAGATATTTTTTACAAATATTTTCTTATCGTATAAATTAATAACATAACTTTTATAACATTTCACATTAAAGACAACTTATTTAAAGAGACTAGTCGAAGTATAAGTCTATTACAGGGGTGGCCAAATCTTGTCGCCTATCAGAAAATCAACATACACGAGAGCCAAATTCTCTATTGGAACGCCTTTCTTAAATCGCTTCCTCTGTTTATATTGTAACTTGTATAGTTAAAATATTATAATTATCAATTTCCTATAGTAAATATCACTGTTAGTTTACCGGACGCCACCGTGCAAACCTTCGTAAGGCTATTGTGGAACGAGAGTATCTTTGGCCCTGCGAACTATACACCTTTATAGAGGACCAGATCATCTATCAAGAATTCAAGATCTTTGTAAGACATCTAACACTAACGGATTATACCACTACCTGCCCAAGCGGCACATAACGGACAGCTCGTCTCCTGGGCCAAGAGTTACCCCCTTATTGCTTTTTCTCAGTGCCACCGCTTCTTTTGCTAACTCTTATCAAAGTTGCCTCATCCTGTCCTATTCCTCAAAGTATTAATCTATGGGCCTACTTCTTCCCTGTAAATACAAACTGTTCCGACTAACGCATAAACTATTGTTTATCCTTGTCTTATCCAACAGTCCCCTTGCGGCTCACCCTTTCACTTTTAAACCTCCAACTATCCCACCTTTCCAACTTTTCCTCAAATCACGCTCCCTCCTTCCATCACCCATCTTTCTTATCTTTTAAGGCTACACTTTGAGTACAGTCTTTTTTCTTTCACACCTGTGTGTTAGTTTACCGGTAGCCTCCTTTATGAACAATTAGTAAACAATCATATAACTTCTTCGATTTTATGATTGTACCCTTAATTCTCGGTTGTCTGTTCGAAATTAAGTTGCAAACTGTACTTACAATTCTTGTGTATATTACACTACATAATAGAGACTTTACAAAAATATTATATATGCATGTATGTATCAAGTTTATAAAAAAGAAATGGCATAAGTAGACGAGAGCCGTAAGAAGAGCCGTAGTTCGGCCACCGTGGGTCTATTATATGACATAAGTATAAGGTAATATTTATAGATAATTAGTAATTTATTTATAAGTATAAAATAATGTTATAACTGGAAAACATTTTTATAAAGGTATAATTAGTAATATCGAATGAACTTTCAAGAATTTATTTCGTATAATTAATTATACTTTTAAAGATAAAAATATCTTATATTTTAAAAAGTAAGAATGTTTCTATAGGAATTAACCTCATCCTAATTTATTTTGATGTTCCGTGGTTTTACTTTAAAGAAATTTATCTGTAAATACAAAATATTTATTCGACGTATTTTATTAAATACAATTATAAAGTTTCTAAATATAAATAAATTAGTTTTGCATATTTCCGAACACTTTTTAGCCATTTCTATCTAAATTCCTTTCCTATTAAAATGCATGCTTGAAATAATATAATAAAATCAAATTAAAGTATTAGATAATCTATTTTTCAAAATACACTTTTTACTAAAAGAAAGAATTACTAATTTTTATGAGTTTTTACAAATATATATATATATATTTCGTTTGGTTCGTGTTTCCAGCAAATGAATCATTTTAGAGAAATTTACAATATTTACAGAATTATAATTATATTAGTTAGGCCAATAGAGATATTTCGAAGATTAATACTTACGATTATATTTCAAATAATTTCAAATTAGAAAAGAGACATATTTAATTGTTAACAATTATACAAACTTTTGTGATTTGTTAAAAATTAGAAAATAAACGATACAAATGAAATCGTATTCTGAAACTGTAATATATTCAAATCTTAAGAGAATATAAAATTGTAGGAGAAAGCACAAACAACTTCTTCTGGTGGACGTCATTTAATTATGTTTAATATTATTATATCATTATTTTAATATTATGTCAGATTTATCTCATTACTATTTATGCATTTTTTTAAATTCCAAAGCTTATTATAAACATTTATTTATTATTAAACGGTTGGTCGATTCGCTCGAACTTAAAACACAAGACAAACAAGAGACAGACAAAACATTCCAAAATTTTGGAATGTCTTCTGTTTTGGAATTGGAGTTAATCCCGATGACGGTCCACGAATAAACCTTATATAATAATCTCTCGCTTGTTTAATGTTGCGTTTTAATATAAATATTCAAGCAAAGCACGTATTTTCATTTTCTAAATTAAACAACAACGCAATGTTCTCTACTAACAACGTTGACTATTAAATTGCTTACTAACTCAAAAACACTTAATAGGAAATCAAGCGAAAAATATCTTTGAAGTGATAAGTTTAATTTTTTCATTCATTAACATGCAAAACTTATATTAAATTGTAATATGATAGAATAAAATCAGCTAAATAATAATAATAATGTAGAGATACCTGAAAATCCAATCGTAGAAAGAACCACTGCGAAAACCACGAACGACTTCATCTCGACGCTTCTATCCACTTTATGATTAAGATTGGTTTAAAATGTCTGTAAATGAATTTATGTTGTCGAATTTTAGGTCGTTCACCACACGACGACATTTCCTATTCAATTAGCATCGATAAAAAAAATGGTTTGTTGGTAGAGATATCCTTATCGTTAGAATTTTAATGAACATCGAGTATTATGCTGGAAAAGAGGAGGATGAGGAAGAACTGATAACATAAAATGTTCGATTACCACTTCTCACTTAAAAAAATACTTTTTGTGGAAAGTGTAGAAGATATAAAAATAATTTTAGCTAAGAAATCTTATAACGTATAATTAAATAATTTTTTGTCGAAAATTTTAAACGAAATCTATGCCTGAATCGAAAAACTTTGGTTTCTTAGCAATCGACGTGAAATTACTACAAAAATCTATGATATAGAAAACGATATACAGTACAACAACCTTTTCCGAATATCATTTTAATTACAATATAATCCCATACTGTTTATCTTTCTGTTGACCAGAATTTTATCGTTAAGTGATCCGTCGTGAAACGAACTCTATATTAATATAGACTTCGAGTGTGATAATTTGAAGATTTAATTCTGGATATACAGTCGGATATACCTCGGAAACTCGGCCTAATGTGGACCGAAGGGTGGCCGAGTTTGTGAAAATGCCGGGTTATCGGAAATGGCGTTAAAAAAAATAAGTACGAGTGTTTCCTCAGAAAATACTGTACTGTACTTGTATGTATTGTTTATTTGAGAATATAACAGAGAATAAACTGCCAAAATACCCTTATACAAAGGAAAAGTACGTCCTTTATGAAGGCATAGAGCCTTTACTACATGAAAATGAAAATAAATGAATACACTGTGTACAGTAATTTACCTGATAAGACAGAC